AGAGGGAGGAGAAGCAGGCTCCATTTCAGAGAGCCCGATGTGGGACTCGATCCTGGAACCACAGGATCACGCCCTGAGCCAAAGGCAGATGCTCAACCACCAGCTACCCAGGCATCCCTGGTCTTTTGGAACTCTTCATCTAAAAAAAAAAAAAAAAAAAAAAGGAACTTTTCATCTGTGATGTGCCTGTTCAAATTTTTGTTTGTTTTTCTGTGAAAGACATTTAAGGCTAAGAGAGTATTGAAAGACTGTGGGGCTGTTTGGAGTGTAAGGTGCAAGGTGGAGAGGAGGTATAGAGAGCTAATATTATCATCACTGCTTTGCAAATAAGGAAACTGAAGCATAAAGAAGCTAAATAATTTGCCCAAGTAAGTAGTCTATGCTTTTTCCCTCAACTTTATTGAGGTGTAATTGGCAAATTATATTTCAACTTTACACTGTGATGATTTGATATATGTATACATTGTGAAAGGATTCTTACCATCAAGTTAATTAACACATCCATCACCTCATGTTTACCCTTTTTTTTTTTAGCAGTGTTTGTGCTCCTAACCTCTGTGATATTCCCTTTGTAAAAGTCATAGGTTCTTGAATGTGAAAGGAACCTTAGAGATTGTCTCATCGATCTAATCCTTTCAATTTTTCCTTTTTTAAATTTAAAAACATTTATTTTATCATGGTAAAATACACATAACATTAAAGTTAACATTTTAACTATTTTTAGGTGCGCAGTTCAGTGTCATTAAATATATTCATATTGCTATGCAACTATCACCACTATTCGTCGCCAGAACTTTTTCATCTTTCTGTACCAAAACTCTGGATCTATTCCCTAACCACTTCTCCCCAGACTACCATTCTACTTTCTATTTCTATTAATTTGACTATTTTAGGTACCTTTATATAAGTAGAATCACTAAATGTTTGTATTTTTGTTTTCACCTCTTTTCATCTTGCATAATATCTTAAAGATTCATTCATTTATGTTATGGCATATATCAAAATTCCTTTCCTTTTTTTTTTTAAAGATTTTATTTATTTATTTGAGGGAGAGAGTCAGAGAGCCAGAGCACAAACAGGAAAGGGAAAAAGCAAGGGAGCCCAATGCCAGGATCCTAGGATCATGACCTGACCTGAAGGCAGACACTTAACTGACTGAGCCCCCGGGGTGCCTCAAGATTTTTTTATTTTTAAGTAATCTCTCCACCGAACGTAGACCTCGAACTTATAGCCCTGAGATCAAGAGTCACATACTCTTACCAACTGAGCCATGTAGGCTCCCCAGAATTCCCTTCCTTTTTAAGACTGAATAATATTTGTAGGTATATACCACATTTTGTTTATCCATTCATTAATTGATAGGCAATTAAGTTGCTTCTACTTTTGACTGTTATAAATAATGCTTCTATGAACATTCTTGTGTACATGTTTCTTTAAGTCTGCATTCGGATCTTTTCTGTGTGTACCCAGAAATGGAATTGCTGGGTCATATGGTAAATCTATGTTTAATTTTCTTTTTCTTTTTTTTTTAAGGTTTTATTTATTTATTCATGAGAGAGAGAGACACACACACAGAGGCAGAGACACAGGCAGAGGGAGAAACAGGCTCCACGCAGGGAGCCCGACATGGGACTTGATCCCGAGTCTCCAGGATCACACACCCTGAGCTGAAGGCGGTGCTAAACCGCTGAGCCACCCGGGCTGCCCTCTTTTTTTTTTTTTTTAAGATTTTATTTATTTATTCATGAGAGACACACACAGAGGCAGAGACATAGGCAGAGACGTAGGCAGGCTCCTCAGGGAGCCTGATATAGGACTCCATCCCAGGCCCCTGGGATCACACCCTGAGCCAAAGGCAGATGCTCAACCACTGAGCCACCCAGGTGCCCCATATATTTAATTTTCTTGAGGAACTGCCATTTTATATTCCTGCCAACAATATACAAGGATTCCAGTATCTCCACATTCTGGACAATACTTTTTCTTTTTCTCTTTTCTTTCCCCTCCTCCTCCTCCTCCTCCTCCTCCTCCTTCTTCTTCTTTTCTTCTTTTTTTTTTAGAATAATCACCCCAATGGGTATGAAAATAGTGTCTCTTGTGGTTTTCTTTGTTTGTTTACTTATTTATTTTCATTTTTTAAGATATTTATTTATGAAAATTTTATTTATTCATTCATGAAAGACACACAGAGGGAGAGAGAGGCAGAGACACAGGCAGAGGGAGGAGCAGGCTCCATGCAGGGAGCCCAACGTGGGACCTGCTCCCAGGTCTCCAGGATCATGCCCTGGACCGAAGGTGGCACTAAACCGCTGAGCCACCAGGGCTGCCCAGATTTTTATTTATTTATTCATGAGAGACATATATATATATATAGAGAGAGAGAGAGAGAGGCGGAGGGAGAAGTAGACTCCATGCAGGGAGTCTGATGTGAGACTCGATCCCAGATCTCCAGGATCAGGCCCTGGGCTGAAGGCAGCACCAAACCATTGAGCCACCCAGGCTGCCCTTTATTTATTTATTTAAAGTAGTCTCTATATCCAGTGCAGGGCTCAGACTCACAACCCCAAGATCAAGAGTCACACACGTCTCTTCCAGCTGAGCAGTCAGGCGCTCCTCTTAAAGTCCTTTCCTTATTTTGTTGTTTGTTTCCTTATTTTGTTGTCAGGTTATTTTGTTGTTAAGTTTTAGGGGTTCTTTATATACTGTGGATTTTAATCCTTTATCACATGATGATTTGCATCATGTATTTTCTCCTGTTCTGTGGATTGCCTTTTTACTTTGTTAATGTCCCTTGATGCACAAAAGTTTGTAATTTTGAAGAAGTACAATTTGTCTTTTTTTTTTCTTTTGTTGCCTGTGTTTTTGGTGTCATAGCCAAGAAATAATTGCCAAATCCAGTGTGATGAAGCTTCTCTCATATGTTGCCTTCTAAGAGTTTTTTTCAGTTTAGATGTTATGGTTAGGTCTTTGATCAATTTTGAGTTTATTTTTTGATACGGTGTTAGGTAAGAATCCAACTTAATTCTTCTACATCTGGATATCTGGTTTCCTCAGCACCATTTATTGAAAAGATTGTCCTTTCCCCATTGAATGGTTGAAAATCATTTGACATAGTATATGAGAGGGTTTATTTCTGGATTCTCTATTCTATTTCATTGATTTATATGTCTGTCTTTATGCCAACACCATATTTCTTTGATTGTGGTAGCTTTATAGTAAGTATTGAAATTAGGAAGTATGAATCTTCCTACTTTGTTGTTCTTTTTCAAGATTGTTTTGACTCTTTGGGTTTCCTTAAGATTTCACATACATTTTATAGTTTATTTTTTTTTTAGTAATCTCTATACCCAATATGGGGCTCAAACTCACAAACCCAAATTCAAGTCACATGGTCTTCTGAATGAGCCAGCCAACTGCCCTTCAGGCATTTTAGGATGGAATTTTCTTTCTTTCTCTTTCTTTCTTTCTTTCTTTCTTTCTTTCTTTCTTTCTTTCTTTCTTTCTTTCCTTTCTGTATTCATTTATTTTTAAAGATTTTATTTATTTATTTGTGAGAGACACAGAGAGGGAGAGAGAGAGAGGCAGAGACACAGGCAGAGGGAGAAGCAGGCTCCTCACAGGGAGCCCAATGTGGAACTTGATCCCAGGACCCTGGGATCACACCCTGAGCCAAAGGCAGATGAGCCAACCGCTGAGCCACCCAGACATTCCTAGGATGGAATTTTCTATTTTGTAAAAAACATTTTGCAAAATTATTGGGATTTTGATAAGAATTGCATTGAATGTGTAGATCAGTGTAGCTTAATAATATTAAGTGTTGTAAGCCATGAACATGGGACCATTTATGTATGTCTCCTTTAATTTCTTTCAGCAATGTTCTGTAGTTTTCATTGTACAAGTTTGTTACTTCCTTGGCTAAGTTAATTCCTAAGTTTTTTTGTTTTTGTTTTTGTTTTAGGGAGGGGAGGGGCAGAGGAAGCTTGATCTCACCACCCTGGGATCATGACCTGAACCAAAACCAAAAGTCAGACACTTGACTGACTGAACCATACAGGCACCCAATTTTTTATTCTTTTTGATGCTATTATAAGTAGATTGTTTTATGATTTTATTATTTCCCTTTTTACATCATTCATTGGTAATATATAGAATTGTAACTGATTTATGTGTGTTGACTTTTTTAAGATTTTATCTGAGAAAGAAAGAGCACAAGCAGGGGTTGGGTGGATGAGGGGTAGAAAGACAGGGAGAAGCAGACTCCCCACCGAACAGGTAGTCCAATGCAGGGCTTGAACCCAGGACCCCGAAACCATGAACCCAGCCCAGCCAACTGAGCCATCCAGGTGCCCCTCTGTGTTGATTTTTTATATTCTGCTGTTTTATTGAGTTTATTAGTTCTCGCAGTTTTATTTGTGGGTAGAGTCTTTAAGATTTCTACATACAAGATCATGTCATCTGTGAACAGAGATAATTTTACTTCTTCTTTTCCAATTTGGATTCCCAACTCCCTTTTTTTCTTGCTTAACTGCTCTGGCTGGAATTTCTAATCCTATGTTGAATTAAAGTGACAAAGATTGGCACCATTTTCTTGTTCTTTAATCCTACCATTTTTTAGATGTGAAAATGTGGGCCTAGAGAAAGACATTTACTTGCCCATAGTTACACAGTAAGTTCATAGCAAAGTGGGAATTGGTATCCAGACCTTTTTAAAATTCTGATCCAGTATTTTTTCCAATATATTGGGTTGACAGAAATATGGATAGCTGGTTATGGAAAGAGGCAACATGATTTTCTTATTCTGTTTACTTTAGAATGATTTTCTTATTCTGTTTAGAATATTTTCACATCAATATATTATAATAGATGACAGTGTAGAGAAGTATCAGTGTATGAGATTTTTTGCTATTTGAATTGTAACTCCTGATTTTTACATCTAATGCATATCATGTAAATTAAGTTTACTTAACTTTCAGAATGTCATTCTTCTTGCATTTCTTCAGTGCAGTTACAATTGGAACTGATATGCTGGAACTGGACTGCCATATCACAAAAGATGAACAAGTTGTAGTGTCACATGATGAGAATCTAAAGAGATCAACTGGGGTAAATGTAAACATCTCTGATCTAAAGTACTGTGTAAGTAAAAATGCATGATAAACTAATATCTAGTACATATTTAGGCCTATAAGATTTTTAAAAATAATGAATGCCAAAGAAAATTTTAAAAAGTATTCTAACTTTCAGTGAGGATTTATACTCACTACAGAAATCTGTGGATACATCTTTGGAGACTTACTTTTATAAATATTTTAACAAAATTACCAAAGTCTTCAAATATAAAATGACTGGAGTTCAACTTGCTTCCTGTTTGATGTATGCTACAATTTATTTGATTCAGATTAAATATATTAATTCATTTTAGTCTTTAAGTATAGGAAACCTGATTTTAGTAGTTTACATGCCATTTTAGTAAAGACTGGTAAATGGATGGAAAATAATGCTTTATTTTACCACCTAAAGAAAAGCTATGTTAACAGAATTCTATCTTAATGTGTACCCTATATGTTTTTTGCATAGTTGTGATCCTACTCGATATTATATATATTGTGTTTTTGAACACTTTAACATTATGGTATGATACACATTTTTCCATGCTTTTTTTTTAAAAAAAAGATTTATTTATTTTTGAGAGAGACAGTGAGAGAGAGCATGCAAGAGAGAGAGCATGCAAGAGACAGTGAGAGAGCAGTAGAGGGAGAAAGAGAGAGAATCCTCAAGGAGACTCCCTGTAGAGCCCAATGTGGGACTTGATCCCAGGACCCTGAGATCATGACCTGTGCTGAAACCATGCATCAGACCCTTGACCAACTGAGCCACCCAGGTGCCCCTGCTTTTAATTTTTTTAATAGACTTCAATTTTTAGAGTGGTTACTGGTTCACAGCAAAGTTGAGCAGAAAGTATAGAGTTCCACATAGCTTCTGACTCTCCACAGGTACAGCCGCCCCCTCCCACCAACATCCTGCACCAGAGGATGTTCACCTGTGAACCTACATTGACACATCATTATCACCTCAAAATCCATAGCTGATATTAGAATTTATTCTTAATGTTGTACATTCTGTGGGCTTGAACATATAATGGCATGTTGTTTTTTAATGTATAATGGTGAAAAAAAATAATGTATAATGAGGTATCAGCTGTCATAGTGTTGTGCATAATAGGTTCACTGCCTAAGAACCCTCCGTGTTCTGCCTTTTCATCCTTGCTGCCCTCCAGCCCCTGGCAACCACTGATCTTTTTATTTTCTCCACGCTTTTACTTTTTCCAGAATGTCTATAGTTGGAATTGTATGGGATTTAGCCTTTTCAGATTCCAGCTTCTTTTTCTTTTCTTTTCTTTTTTAAAGATTTTATGTATTTATTCACAAGAAACACAGAGAGAGAGAGGCAGAGACACAGGCAGAGGGAGAAGCAGGCTCCATGAAGGGAGCCCAATGTGGGACTCTATCCCGTGTCTCCAGGATCACGCCCTGGGCTGAAGGCGGTGCTAAACCGCTGGGCCACCGGGGCTACCCAAAATTCTTTTTTTTCTTTTTTTTATAGTTTTAAAAGAAATTTATTCATGAGAGACACAGAGAGAGAGAGACAGAGGCAGAGACACAGGCAGAGACACAGGCAGAGGGAGAAGCAGGCTCCATGCAGGAAGCCAGATGGGGTACTCGATCCCGGGACTCCAGGATCACGCCCTGGGCAGAAGGCAGGCCCTAAATCGCGGAGCCACCAAGGGATCCCCCCCAGGCATTGCCCCCCTGGCATCCCCACCCCCAGGCATCCCTTATATAGAGTTTTTAAAAGATATAAGCATATATTTATGAAGACACGTATATAAATATATTTATTGAAAGTATCTAATAAAGTTATCTCATAGTTTAGTATATATATGTGACCAAAGCAAGCAAGTTATCTCTGTTTTTAAAATTATTTCCCTAAGTAAACCCCCATCAGGGAAATTATTTGGTAAAAGAGTAGGAGTATGATAGCATCTTAATATATATTGAAAGTTGTAATTGCCAGCTTGCTTTCTAAAAGTGTTTAAGAGTTCTAAAACTCTGGGGCATCTGGCTGGCTCAGTAGGTAGAGCATGTGACTCTTTTTATTTTTTTATTTTATTTTTTTATTTTATTTTAGCATGTGACTCTTGATCTCAGGGTTATGAGTTCAAGCCCCATGTTGCTCACAGAGATTATTAAAAAATAAAATATAGTAAAAATTTTTTTTAACTCTAAAATGTGATATTAGAGGAATTCCCATTTTGCCATACCCTTACCATTATTGGGTATTAAAACAAAAATTCCCTAAATTTAAATTTTAATTAGCATTTATTTGATTATTTGTGAGTTTAAAGATTTTTTTCTGGATGATTGTTAGTCATTTTTAGAAATTGTCTATTCTTGATGCTTGTCTATGGAAGTATTTATATATTATTATTAGAAAGGTCCATATTAGTGCAAATTTTTTTTCTTGTAAGATGTGAAAGTAGTTATATAATTAATTTGCTGTTTGGGATGTTCTGCGAAAGAGTGCCCTATGTAAACATAGGTAATCATAGTTAATGTTTTTATTCTTTTATTTTTTGAAGAAGCATATCTTTGTCTTACTGTAAGACACTAAAATACTTTTAAATTTTGGGGAGTTAACTTTTTTCAATCATATCTTTTAAAGGAACTTCCACCTTACCTTGGCAAACTGGATGTCACATTTCAAAGAGGTAATATTTCCCATTTGCAGCTTATACATTTACATTAAAGTGTATTCATTTACACTGAGAATTAGATATACATGTGTGGTTTTTTTTTTTTTGTGATAGGAAGTTCCAGCTAAAAGTACTTCCCTCAATACTTACTCTCTCAGACCTACAAATCTGAAATCTTGACCCTGAGATGAAGGCTAGAGATTTAACTGGCTCATTCTATTTAAATTTATGTACAGTTAATTTAAACCTAAATACTAATTACAAGAAACCTAGACATTATTGGGGCTACTTTGCATTTCTAAACCTTCAAATTCTAAAAGATTACTATAACTTGTAGTAAAATCCATCATAAGTAAAATAAATGAAAAGACATTAGAAGGACACCTTTCAGATCCTTACTGATTCTATAACACGTGAGTTTATGTCATTTCACTGTTCCCTATCTTAAATTATTAGAGAGAATTCTGTTACTCAGATGAACCACCCATTTCCTGGTCATTGTCACTTTTTAATCACTAGCATAGCAGTTTTCTCCCTTTTGAGGGATTATTTCTCACAAAGGAACGTGTTCCTTGGCCCCATTTGTTAGCTTTGTTACAATGGAACATGGTGATAAAGGTTGCTGAGCCAGTATAGGGTCCCACACTATCACATTTCAGCTTCATGTTTTGAATGATCCAAACATAGCCCTGTAGAACTACAAGATGCTACATGGTGTGGTCCTTGATGTGGTATGGTTTGCATATAGTTAAAACCTTAGTTAAATGTCAAGGATCTAAAGAACTGTAACTGCTCTGTGAACTAGACTTAAAATTGGCCAATATAATTTCTCCTTGACTGGAAGACTTAAGAAAGCCAAATAAAAATCAGAAAATTGTTTAAATTAGCTATTTTTAAAGGATGTTTAGATCTGAAGTTTTCTTGATTTTACTTTCCAGGTAAGTATCATTAAGCTGTATTGGTTTGCGGAAACATTTTTTTCATTTTTTATGATTAACAGGATTATATTTACCAAGCTATTATAATATTTGTGTCAATTGCAGATTTGTGAAGATTAAAAATATTTCATTTCATAAGTGAAGGGGTTTTTTTTGTTGTTGTTCTTTGGGGGTTTTATTTTTTTGTTGTTGTTCTTGTTTAATTTTTCCTCTTGTAGAGCAAAGCCAAAGCCTCACAAAAATTAAAAGATCCTTGGAGGAATAAAATGTTTTAATTTTTTTCTAAGGTTTATTTATTTATTCATGAGAGACACAGACTGAGAGAGAGGCAGAGACCTAGGCAAAGGGAGAAGCAGGCTCCTCACAGGGAGCTCGACGCGGGACTTGATCCCAGATCCTGGGATCAAGACCTGAGCCGAAGGCAGACACCCAACCACTGAGCCACCCAGGGGTCGCCCCCTTTTTTTTTTTTAAGTTTTTATTTATATACCTTTGTCATAAAGTCATAAAACTTTTGAATAGGCAGTGACCTTTGAGGCCATGTAATTCCATATCTCCTTGTGTTTTAGATAAGGAAACTGAGGCCTAGGGATGTAAATTAACTTTCTTTTAAAAAGATTTTATTTATTTATTTGAGAGAGAGAAATAGATTCTATACACAAGACAGAGCACAAGCAGTGGGGAAGGGCAGAGGGAAGGAAGAAGCAGATTCCCTGCTGTGCAGGGAGCCCAACACAGGGCTTGATCCCAAGACCCTCAGATTGTGACCTAAGCTGAAGGCAGACACTAACCCACTGAACCACCCATTTTACACCCAGATGTAAATTAACTTGATTAAGGTCATACAACAATAAATGACAGAGCTAGGACTTGAAACTAGGTCTCCTTCTAACCAGGCCAATGTTCAGCTGTACCTTACTGCCTCTCCATCTAAAGAGTCTCTCTCTCTTTTTTTTAATTAAATAGGATCCATGCCCAACATGGGACTAGAAGTCAGGACCCTGGGATCAAGAGTCTCATGCTCTCCCGACTGAGCTATCCAGGCACCCCTAACAAGTCTCTCCAAATGCCTTATTAACAGCAATGCCTTGTACTCTCAAGTTTCAGACACCTAGAAAAATAATTAATTTTTGTTCATATTGCATTCAGGTTTTTTTTTTAATATTTTATTTTTTTATTCATGAGAGACACAGAGAGAGAGGCAGAGACACAGGCAGAGGAAGAAGCAGGCTCCGTGCAGGGAACCTGATATGGGACTTGATCCGGGGTCTTCAGGATCACACCCTGGGCTGCAGGCGGCGCTAAACCGCTGCACTACAGGGGCTGCCCATAGGTGTTTTTTGTTTGTTTGTTTGTTTGTTTGTTTTTTAAGATTTTATTTATTTATTCAAGAGAGACACAGAGAGAAAGGCAGAGACATAGGCAGAGGGAGAAGCAGACTCCCTATAGGGAGCCTGATGCAGGACTCCATACCAGGACAGCGAGATTACAACCAAAGGCAGACGGTCAACCACTGAGCCACCTAGGTGCCACTGTGTTCAGTTTATATCACAATTAACTTAAGACTCTGCCTCAAATGTGAAGTTTACCTTAAATGTGTAGTTTATAGGCTAATATATAGTACTATAAAAACTTGACTCAGATTAGGCCGATAGTTGTTCCTTTCTCTTTTTTTGGCGGGGGGGGGGGGTGTCCAATTCTCCTGCTCAGAACTCATGCTTACTTTTCTTTAAATACTAGAGAAAGACTACCAACTTTCAGGGGAATACAGATTTTAGCCCTCTTGCTTTTTATTTATTCATGAGAGACACACACAGAGAAAGAGAGGCAGAGACACAGGCAGAGGGAGAAGCAGGCTCCATGCTGGGAACCCGATGTAGGATTCAATTCCAGGACTCCAGGATCATACCCTGGGCTGAAGGCGGCGCTAAACCGCTGAGCCACCGGGGCTGCCCCTTCTTGCTTTCTTTATGGTTCATAATTTTACTGAAATAATTGTTTTTTTTTAAGGTGCTTTGATGTGCTACAAGCTACATTAAAAAATAAATATAAAGAAAAAAAATAAATATAAAGAAATAATATAAAAATTTATTAACCAAAGGGTTAGTTGTTATCTATCCTGCTTACTTAAAAGTAGCCTTTAAATGGAAAATACATAATCTGATAATCTAAAGTTGATCAGAATGATCAGTTTTCAAGTTCTAGCACATTTATAGAGGCAACTTCACTCATTCTATTACCCAACACATCCTCTGGCATACTCCTTGCCTATCACTCTTGTTTTCCTATTTCCCTTGTTGTAGTATTTCACAGGCGGTTAACTTCTGCCCAGAACAATGCTGGGGACAAACTTCTTTCCTCAACTCATTTTCTACATTCTATGCTGGCTGAGGCATCTAATGTAAATATCTTCACATTACTTTAGCATGCTTTTTTTCTTAGTTATTAGTGTAACTTTAATTTCCTTGTTTGTCCCACTATTAGATGCAGTATTATCCTTATTGTATAATGCTCCAAAGTTAGTTTTATCTGTTTGACTTTTTTCTAAGTTGATTTTTGCAAACATTGTACCTGAGTGTAATTCTTTGTAGCAATTCTTTTGACTGCCAAATTATTTTTTCCACACTTAAGCTAACAATTTTTTTACTTAACTAAAATAGCACTGTTTAAATGAAGTGTAGAGCTAGAAATGTTCTGTATTTGCACTGTCAGTTACAATAGCCAATAACCACATGTGACTGTTGAACACTTATAAAATGTGCCTCGTCCAACTCAGGGACTGAATTTTTAGTCTTATTTAATTTGAATTTTAATAGCTCTATGTGGCTAGTGGCTACCATATTAAACTGTGCAGAACTAGAATATCATGTTCAGACTTTTTAGATTGTAACAGAAACTAGTTTATACTAGCTTAAGAGGAAAAAAAACACAACAGATTTATTTTATCATGAACTGTCTATAATAGTGGTGGATCTGTGGTTAAACATTATTAGATCCAGGGGCACAAAAGGGACTCTTTTTTATTCATTCCATAGTTCTGCTTCTTTTGGGTCTTACCCTCTTCCAGTGTATATGGACTTTGTCCTTATGGCAGGGAACATGATCACTGACAACTCATTCATATCCTGCCTGCACATTGACCCAAAGGTAAAAAAAAAAAAGCAATCTTCCCTTTAAACTTCAAGGGAAAGTTCTAGATAAAGACACTGATTGGCCCAGCATGGGTCATGTGTCCATCTTGAGCTATTCCCTGTGGACAAAGAGATGGGCTATTATAATGGCCAGATCTTGGGCATATACCTCCCCATGAGAATAAAGGGGAAATGGGTCCTGTTTTTGAGAACCCAGTCAGAACAATGTAAAATAAGGGAGATGCAGTTTTCCAAGGGAAGAAAGAGTGCTGGATGGGTAAAAACAAGTTAAATTTTTAGATATTTACATAATTTTTACTGTTCAATTCAGTAGTCTACAATAAGTCTAAACTCAGTTATAAGTGCTAGAAATCCATCTCAAGATAGTTAAAAAAAATTTTTTTAAATACTTTGGTTCTTAAAAAAAAAAAAAAAGAATTTGGTTCTCCTAACAAAAAAAGTCTAGAGATTCTAGGTCTTCAGACATGTCTAATTTCAGTTGCTTACACCGTAATTAGTCTCTATCTCTTTTTCTTGGTCCAGTTTCATTTATGTTAGCTCTGTTCTCAGACACACCTTCTACACATAAAGATGGACTTTGACAACATCAAAGTACAACATCCATTCAGCTGAAGATTTCAGGAGACCTCTTCTCATGTTCACAGTGTTATGGTCCATATGCTGTGGCCAAGGAGACAGAGCCAAATGATTGAGAGTCAGTCAAAATGATCCAGAGCTCCATCCGAGTTACAAGAAGCAGTAAAAAGACAATAGGAATGGAACACAGAACAGACAAAACAGTAACACTTTTTTCCTTTTTTTTTTTCTTTTCTCATTTATATGCTGTCTCTACATATAAGTCTGTATTATAAATATTTTTGACATGGCTTTAATTTACTTTGTTGATACACTTTGTATAATAAAGATGAAATAAGGGATCTTTTACTATTTTTTATTCACATAGTAGTGGGACTGAAGTTTCAGATGGGAGAGAGAATTTTATGATACTTATGCAGTGTGTACAGCATACTATGTAAATGATTCAAGGCAAAAGAGATTAGGAAAAATAAAAGATTAACCCTCAGGAAAGGTAAAAAATGATGAAAAGTCCTCATCTAATTTTTTTGTGACTCTAATTTCTACTAAATTTTGCCTAGGAAAAGAGTAGAAAAAGTTTTCTTTGAGTAGCTGTATTGATACAATTCTTTAACACACTCCTGAATTAGCATGTATTTCCCTTGCCTGAACATATATATTCTCAATATTCCGAAAATTTCAATGGTGATATCATAGCAAAATTTTCCAAACAACCAGTATCAACTAGTAGAGTATAGGGTTATTGTTTTTTTCCTTCTACCTCCTGGTTCTCAGGAAGGATCTGTAACAAAAGAGAGACTACCAAGAGAAAAACAAACAGAAGTTTATTAATTTATATGTGTCATTGGAGAAACTCAAGGATGATAACTCAAAGGCTGGTGAGAACTTGAGTTTATCTAGCATCTTAACAAACAAAGAAAATCCAATACATTTTCAGAGAAGTAACAAGACAAATAAAAAAGATTTTGAGGGGGTGGGGCAAAAAAAAAGGATTTTGAGTTTCTAGGGTGGCAAATTGTGGGAACTTAAGTAGATGGGTGAATAATGGAAAATAAAGGCTAGTCAGTACTTTGTTGTGTAGAGTTCTGTGGTACTATCTGTAGATCTAAATTTGTCAGTGATACGTTTCGTATGAATTTAAGTCTTGTTTCTGGGCAGATGGAAAAGGACAGAACACTTTTCTTATATCTGCCTCATCTCAGTTGCCTTCGGTTCAAAATAATCCTTATGCCAAAGTGGCATACTGTGGAATGGCAAACTCTGTTACCTTTCGGGGGAATGGTTAAATTAAAATAATGAAGTTGTTGCATAGCAACTCAATGGAGCATTTTAAAACCATTTCAAATAATTATAGAATAAGTTTTTTTTTAAGATTTTATTTGTTTATTCATGAGACACACACACACACAGAGAGAGAGAGAGAGAGAGAGAGAGAGAGAGAGAGAGGCAGAGACATAGGCAGAGGGAGAAGCAGGCTCCATGCAGGAAGCTCGAAGTGGGACTCAATCCCAGGACTCTGGGATCATGCCCTGCACCAAAGGCAGATGCTCAACCACTGAGCCACCCAGGCATCCCCATAATTCTAAATTCTAAGTGTATTAACATGCAACATTTATTTTTTACTTATGTAAATAGATCAGGTTAAGGTCTGTAGGTACACTATATTATAACTACTAAATTATGCCTAAGAAAAGAGTAGAGAAAGTATACTAAATGGTCACAATGGTTAAATCTAAGTTGTTGGATTTTAGATGAATTTCCTTTTCTTTATACTTTTCTTAATTTTGTTAATGTCCTATATGAATACATACTATTGTGAAAACAATAACTTTATCAATTTTTTTCTCCCTAATCATCAAAAAAGTAAAAGTTATCTTTTAAAAATACCTTCAAAAATCTTGCTTCCTCAGCATGCCAGTGTGAAGGAAAAGATAACCGAATTCCATTACTGAAGGAAGTTTTCGAGGCCTTTCCTAACACTCCCATTAACATCGATATCAAGGTCAACAACAACGTGCTGATAAAGAAGGTAGGCAGGCAGTGCCTCTTCTGAGTGTGCTGTGTCAGATTTCACAAACTAAATAAGGCTGACTTCATAGATTGATAATGTTCAAGGAAATGTGATACTCTCGGGATCAGTATTGTCTTAAATAATGCCCTGGTAGAAGAGATCACTCTACTTATAGAAAAGCCTATTTTCAGAGTAAGTTGTCTTGTCTCAATCGTGGATAGAAAGTGAGCTCCTGTGAACCAGTTGTTATGGCATCGATACAATTAGCCTCTTCAAATTCACTTGTTTCATTTGTAGTTAGCTTACATCAAGTGACTGGGCAGTCATATTCTATTAGATAAATCATAGAATGGCAAAATATAAGTAATTGCTTATGTTTTATAACTAATCTGAATTCACATATTGGTTCTTCCCAAAGTTTATACTATTTACTGGCAGAAAGTCAGTTGTAATCCATTTTTAAACTGAAGTAATGTAAGTGGATTTACAAATGTGCACATACATAAACTTTTGCATTTTCACACGTAGGTTTCAGAGTTGGTGAAGCAGTACAGACGAGAACACATAACGGTTTGGGGTAATGCCAGTTATGAAATTGTAGAAAAGTGCTACAGAGAGGTAAGCTTCAGAAATGACACAGAATGATCTTTCTTGCTGTTGTGTATCTATAAATGTTATCACAGTAATAATTTTTAAAAATTCTTATTTCAAAGCCTTGATACAAAGACAGATGGTAGAAGCACCTAACCAGAGGTTTACTGATAGAGGTAATGGATTTAATAGAAATAATATACTTGGGCTGGCTCATAGAATTCTTATTTTCACATGCTAATGTTAGTTGTTTGCCAACATTTTATTATGTACATTATGAAACAAAATATGATTCTTGTCTTTTAATATCTGTTCTTTTTGTTAGGTTATTGAAATTATTTGTGTAATTTTGAATTGAGGAAAGTATTCAGTCCTTCACTTCTTTAGTTGAAGCTTCTTGGTTCCCTACCTCCCAGGAAGAATTAATCAAATTAATCCGGGATCCTAATTATCAGGTGGTATATAAAAGTATGGCCATCTGAAATTTTTCTGTTTGAAGAAAATAGATCTATAAAAAGTTAATTTGATATATTTTGACATGCTATGCTATACCTCTATAAGCAAGTTTTGCTATATACTATAGGTATTCTAAATATAGCATCTATACTTATATACTATAGCAGGTATAGCTAGGAGAATATGAAATTTAAAATGTTAAAAAACCTTAAGCATTGAAGACTTTCAGAATAAAAGTGATAGTGCAGAATAAATACTGCAACACAAGTAGCAATTCAAAATACAAAGATTTCTTTTGGGAAGGTCTTCCTTTCCTATCAAAGAAGGCAAAAACATAGATCTAGAATTGGCACCATTATAATTAAAAGTAGAGTTGTACATTAACTAGTACATCAAAATACATTAAAGCAAGTAAGTTTTGGGGATCCCTGGGTGGCTCAGCGGTTTGGTGCCTGCCTTTGGCCCAGGGCGTGATCCTGGAGTCCTGGGATCAGGTCTCGCATCGGGCTCCCTGCATGGAGCCTGCTTTTCCCTCTGCCTGTGTCTCTGCCTCTCTCTCTCTGTCATGAATAAATAAATAAAATCTTAAAAAAAAAAAAGCAAGTAAGTTTTATTTATATGCCACAGGCTCTTTGAGATTCCAAGGTAGCTTGTGTACCAAAGGAGAAAACAGTAATCATTGGGATGAATAGCTTTAGATTGCTAAGAATTTAGGGCTGACTTTTCTAAAACTAATCATAGTTGTCTAATGGTATTTTCACATGTCATTAAAAGTGACTGTACTAGGATGCCTCACAACCTGCTAGCGGTTTTGGGTTTTTGTTTTTGTTTTTGTTTTTTTACATCATTCAAATGCTTTTAAAAGGTAAAAAAAATAGCTGGTGCCTGGGTGGCTCAGTGGTTGAGCATCTGCCTTTGGCTCCAGGGTTCTAGGATTGAGTCCCTCATCAGGCTCCCTGCAGAGAACCTGCTTCTCCCTCTGCCTATGTCTCTGTCTCTCTCTCTGTGTCTCTCATGAATAAATAAAATATTTTTTAAACTAAAATAAAAAATAAAAAATAGTGATAACAGTAAATGCTGGAGAAGATAAGGAGAAGCTAGATCTCTCCTATATAGCAGGTGGGAATGTAAAGTAGTACAGCCACTCTCTTCATTAGTTGGTTAGTTTCTTATCAAGCTAAACATACACTTACCATTTTAAACAGCAATCTCGCTCTTGGGCATTTATCTTAGAAAAATGAATTATGTTCATAAAATGAAATGAACTTATGCTCATAAAAACCTGTGTATTAATATTTATAGCTGCTTTATTTATAATAGCAAAATACTGGAAACCAACCAAAATGCCCTTCAGTGGGTAGATGGCTGAATAAACTGATACATCCACATGATATAATACTATTCAGCCATGAAAGGAAATGAACTACTGATACTGTCCTCATCCTCAAAGACATTTTGCTTAGTGAAAAAAATTAACCTCAAAAGGTTACATCCTGTAATCACTATATTGTATCCCTGAAACTAATATGATACTGTATGTTAATTAACTGAATTTAAAAGAAACTTAAAGGAACCAAAAATAAAACAAAACAAAAAGATTACATACTGTATGATTCCATTTATGTAATGTTCTCAAATTCTATTCTTCTATAGACATGAAGAGCAGATAAGTGGCTGCCAGGGGACAGAGAGGGGGGTGGGGTAGAGTGCAGGAAAATACAAAGATGTAACAGGAAAGAGTTATGTGTGATGGAACTGTCCTGTAGCTTGATGGTGGTGGAGGTTACATGAACTGATACATTGTTAAAACTGCACTAAACCAAACACATGCACAAATGAATGCAGATTTTAAAAGTGATGAAAACTGAATAAGGTGATAACAGTGATATACCGGCCCAGGAGGGAGGGAAAGAGGGAAGGAAGGAAGGAAGGAAGGAAGGAAGGAAGGAAGGAAGGAAGGAAGGAATATACCAGTGATATACCAGTATCATGTCTTGTTTTTTTTTTTAATTTTTATTTATTATTTATGATAGTCACAGAGAGAGGGGGGGGGGTGCAGAGGGAGAAGCAGGCTCCATGCACCGGGAGCCCGACGTGGGATTCGATCCCGGGTCTCCAGGATCCTGGGCCAAAGGCAGGCGCCAAACCGCTGCACCACCCAGGGATCCCAAGTCTTGGTTTTTATATTGTTCTAGAGTTACATCAAATATTACTATTTGGGGAAGCTAAATTAAGGGTACATGGGACTCTGTTTTTACAACTTTTTGTGAATCTAATTGTTTCAAAATAAAAGGTCCACTTTTGACCCAGAATTGGAGAACTTTTCCCTTGATTCACATATTTTTCTAGAAGCTTCTGGCTTTCTGTTATTTTAGAACTTAAAAGGTCCAAAACTTCCAGCAGTAATTTTCAAACATCATAGTAAAAATGTCTCAATAATAATTGTTGGTCATAGGGCAGCCCCAGTGGCGCAGCAGTTTGGCACCGCCTGCAGCCTGGGGTGTGATCCTGGAGACCCGGAGCCTGCTTCTCCCTCTCCCTCTGCCTGTGTCTCTGCCTCTTTCTCTGTGTCTATGAATAAATAAATAAAATCTTTAAAAAAAAATTGTTGGTCATATAATGAACATGTCATATAATTAAGTCAAGTATCTTTTATTCTTCAAATATGATTTATGAGAATTCTACATTAGCCCTTTAATTCTCAAATGCTAGAAACTAAGAATATAAAAGAAAAATGGAGCACACAGTGTAGAGGGGCAAACATGGCACTTATTCCCACTGAATGACTTTTAATTCATTCTTACTGCAGTGGTTCTTAAACTTGGCTGTATGTTGAAATTACCTGAAAAGTCTCAAAAAACACTAATGCCTGAATCCCATTCCATAAATTCTATTTATTTTACTCAAGTATAATTGAACACAATGTTATATTAGTGACTCCACAAATCTGTACATTGTGCTATGCCCAGCACAAGTGTAGCTACCGTCTGTCAACCATACAACAGCATTACAATACTATTGACTATATTCCCTATGCTGTGCCTTTTATCCCCATAACCTATTCATTCCATAACTGGAAGCCTGTGTCTCTCCCTCCCCTCTTCCCTGGTAACCATCATTCTTTGTATTTATGGGTCTGTTTCTGCTTTTTATTTGTTTATTCATTTTGTTTTTAAATTCCACATATAAAAGAATTCATATGGTCTTTGTCTTTCTCTGTCTGACTTATTTCCTTAGCATAACACCCTCTCAGTCCAACCATGTTGCAGATGGCAAGATTTCCAGATGTTCTAATTTAGAAGATACAGAGTGGCACCAGCCAGTCTGTAGGTCAGTGGTGTGCCAATATACCAAACTTTGCCCTCCCACCAAGGGCAGCCTTGAATGGTTTTCCAGAAGAACCAGTTATTGTTTTTAGTTCTCTGGGTCCAAAGTTGTGTGAGTTTTGAGGTTCAGTCCCAAGCCTATTTTTCCCATAAGCTCTATTATTCTTAGTGCATGAATTTGCAGAAATTAAATTTCTCAGGGGCTTGTACACTGTGTTATAACTGAAACACTTGTATATGAATAAGCCTAAAATATTACAAAGTGGCATGTGAACATAGGGGCAAGAGAAATCCTCAAACTTATTTACTCAATTTTTTTTTTAGATAAAGAAGTGGGTAATTTAGACATGCTATTTAAAATAAATTATTTTTTGGCATGAATTTTTTATTTTTATTTTATTACTTTTTAAAGATTTTATTTATTTACTCATGAGAGACACAGAGAGAGAAAGAGAGGCAGACATAGGCAGAGGGAGAAGCAGGCTTCATGCAGGGAACCCGATGTAGGACTCCATCCTGGGACTCCAGGATCACACCCTGGGCCAAAGACAGGTGCTGAACTGCTGAGCACCCAGGGATCCCATGAATTTTTTAATATATTACTTTTGTATGGAAAAAATCAACTTTACTGTAATTTCTGTTTATTTTAAAGACAAATATAGGAGGAACTAGGGAGATGGGGATATGAGGGGCTGTTTACTGAGCATAGAATTTCACTTTTACAAAATGAAAAGTATACATATATATATATATATGAAGCTTGCATTTTAAGGGTTTTGGGATCTTGAACACATTTTCCAATAGAAATCCAAAATGGTGGCTAGATCCTTCGACTAGCTTATGAAATCCTATTTATATTTGATGCATAACATATCTGACAGGTGACATATTTGCAACAGTGTTTATATTTCATCTATAGTTGTATCAATATTACATTCTGTGTAACTATATAACTATATAGATAGGAACACATATATCTATATATGGATATATATGAATATATATTGATCTTTAGTTATATATTTCTAAGTGGGTATAAGGTTACTGAATATTTCATATATTTATTTTTTTTCCTGTTCCATCAGGTTTAGTATTTTTAATCTCTAGTGATAAACACTATTACCAACAGACAGAAATGATATTGTAAAAGCAGAGAATAAGAAATAGAGAAAGTTAAGTATCATCAATTAACAGCATAGGGCTCCATGATGGAACCTGACCCATTTGGCAAGGACTAGCCATTTTTAAGTGTGGTGTGTTTGGGGATAGATATTGATAATTCAGTACTTTTAACAAATGTCCACATACAGTCTTGGAAATTTTGAGGATGTGAAATAATCCTCATTATTTGACCAGTTGTAAAGTAACATAATATTGCTTGTGTCTTTTAGAATTCAGATATTCCTATACTCTTCAGTCTGCAACGTGTTCTGCTCATTCTTGGCCTTTTCTTCACTGGCCTCTTGCCCTTTGTGCCCATTCGAGAACAGTTTTTTGAAATCCCAATGCCTTCTATCATACTGAAGTAAGTGGTTGCTCTGTTTTCATCAGTTATCATTATAGGGGGACCAAGATCAAGGCTCCTTAAGGAGCCTCCTTGGTATATCAATACCAATGGTAAAGAATAGATTGCTATAGAGGCGGCTGGCTGGCTTGGTTGGTAGACCATGTGACTCTTGATCTCAGGGTTGTAAGTTTGAGTCCCACACTGGGTATAGAGATTACTTTAAAAAAATCTTTAAAAAAATAGACTGTTGTAGTTATTTACATGTTGGATTAACTACCTATATTAATAATGCTTTTTGATATAATTAAGACATTTTTCTAAAATGAATAATATAGGATTATAAATATTTCATCTTGACCCATTTCAGGTAACAGTGACTTTCTGTGCCCGTGTACTCAGAAGTCAGGTACAAAGAATTGAGCTTACTGTTGAAGCTTAATAATTCTTTTATTCTAACATGTAATAGCAATTGCCTTCCAACTTCCTTAACTTATTTATCTTCAATCACAATATGCAGCTGAAATTCCATTAAACTCCAAATTCATGGAGTACCTGGCTGGCTCAGTCAGAAAAGCATATGACTTGATCTGGGTAGGGGGGCTATTTTGAGTTTGAGCCCCATGTTGGGTATAGAGATTACTTAAAACAAAACAAAAAAAAACACCTCCAAATTCACCAGAAGTAGTAATAGATTGAGGAAGAAAAACAACTACTACCACCATAGCAACAACCAGAAAAAAGCTTTGGGAGGATAGGAGAAAGAAAGGGATATTGTTAGTTTATTTAAATAAGATACTTCTATATTGTTGTAACTTCTCTCCTGGGTACAAAGCCTTGCTTTTCACACACTACTTTACTACAAACATAAAAATATAAAACACTTACCACTGCCTGGCAGATAATAGGCAGTTAATAAATGAGAGCTTTTATTGTTCAATTATCTTTATCACCATTGTTAGAAAAAGTTTCATCTCACAATCCTGCACTCTTAGAATGTGATTTCTAGCTGTGAACTTCTAATAATCGGTCATGACAAAGGAATTTGGAACTCCAAGGGAGATCATTTATTATTTTCCTTTATTTAAAAGATTTTATTAAAAAAAATAAAATAAAAGATTTTATTTATTTATTAATGAGAGAGAGAGACAGAGAGAGAGGAAGAGACACAGGCAGAGGGAGAAGCAGGCTCCATGCAGGGATCCCGACGTGCGACTCTATCCCAGGTCTCCAGGATCACACCCTGGGCTGAAGGCGGCGCTAAACCGCTGAGCCACTTGGGCTGCCCAAGGGAGATCATTTTTTTTTTTTTTTTTTTTTTTTACTTATTTATGATAGGCACACAGTGAGAGAGAGAGAGGCAGAGACACAGGCAGAGGGAGAAGCAGGCTCCATACACCGGGAGCCCGAAGTGGGATTCGATCCCGGTCTCCAGGATCGCGCCCTGGGCCAAAGGCAGGCGCTAAACCTCTGCGCCACCCAGGGATCCCCCAAGGGAGATCATTTAAACGTGATTTCACCTAGGGGCACCTGGCTAGCTCAGTTGGTAGAGCGTGCAACTCTTGATCTCAGGGTTGCGATTTCAAGCCCTACATTGGGTGTAGAGATTGTAGAGATTATGTTTAAAAAATTAAATGTGATCTCACCTGCATAGAAACTTTTTTCATGCCAAAACAGAACTTTATTTTTTTTAAAGATTTTATTTATTCATGATAGTCACACAGAGAGAGAGAGAGGCAGAGACACAGGCAGAGGGAGAAGCAGGCTCCATGCAGGGAGCCCGATGTGGGATTTGATCCTGGGTCTCCAGGATCGCGCCCTGGGCCAAAGGCAGGTGCTAAACCGCTGCGCCACCCAGGGATCCCCCAAAACAGAACTTTTTTTTTTTTTTTACATATTTTTTTTCTTTATTATTTTATGATAGTCACAGAGAGAGAGAGAGAGAGGCAGAGACACAGGCAGAGGGAGAAGCAGGCTCCATGCACCGGGAGCCCGACGTGGGATTTGATCCCGGGTCTCCAGGATCGCGCCCTGGGCCAAAGGCAGGCGCCAAACCACTGCGCCACCCAGGGATCCCCCCAAAACAGAACTTTAAAAGATCAAGCTGAACATTAGCAGTAATTAGGAAATATTGGTAAGAAAAACAATTTGGTCGGTACCCTTGTATTCAGCATTTATGTTTCATGCTTGTTTTCCAATTTGAGTTTCTTTGTGATGAACATGTTTTTTAACTATTCCCAATTATATTTATGGATAGTCTTTGTAGCTATTTCTTAGACAAAACAGAAATTACTTCTTGCCTACAAAGAAACTATTTTTTTTTAAAAGATTTTATTTGTTTATTCATGAGAGACAGAGAGCGGGGAGGGGGGAAGGGGCAGAGACACAGGCAGAGGGAGAAAGCAGGCTCCATGCAGGGAGCCTGACCTGGGACTTGATCCTGGGACTCCAGGATCACTCCCTGGGCTGAAGGCGGCGCTAAACCGCTGAGCCACCCAGGCTGCCCACTAATAGCATTTTTCACGGAGCTAGAACAAACAATCTTAAAATTTGTGTGGAACCACAAAGACCCCAAATAGCCAAAGCAATCTTGAAAAAAAAAAAAAAAAGACCCACAGCTGGAGGCATCACGATTCTGGACTTCAAGTTCAAGTTATATTATAAATCTGTAGTCATCAAAACAGTGTGGTACTGGCACAAAAATAGACACAGAGATTAATGGCACAGAATAGAAAATCCAGAAGTGAACCAACAGTTATATAGTCAACTAATCTTTGACAAAGCAGGAAAGAATATCCAATGGGAAAAAGAATGTCTCTTCAACAAATGGTGTTGGAAGAATTGGACAGCAACATGCAAAAGAATGAAATTGGACCACTTTCTTACACCATACACAGAAATAGATTCAAAATGGATTAAGGGGGCAGCCCCGGTGGCTCAGTGGTTTAGCGCCACCTTCAGTCCAGGGCGTGATCCTGGGGACCAGGGATCGAGTCCCACGTCCGGCTTCCCGCATGGAGCCTGCTTCTCCCTCTGCCTATGTCTCTGCCTCTCTCTCTCTCTCTCTCTCTCTCTCTCTGTGTGTGTGTGTGTGTCTCATGAATAAATATATAAAATTTTTTTTAAATGGACTAAGGACCTAAATGTGAGACCCGAAACCATAAAAATGCTCAAAGAGAACACAAGCAGTAACTTCTTTGACATTAGCCTTAGCAGCTTCTTTCTAGATATGTCTCCTGAGGCAAGGGGAAAAAAATAAAAAATAAACTATTGGGACTACATCAAAATAAAAACTTCCTCACAGGGCAGCCTGGGTGGCTCAGCGGTTTAGCTCTGCCTTCACCCCAGGGCCTGATCCTGGAGACCCAGGATCCAGTCCCATGTCGGGCTCCCTGCATGGAGTCTGCCACTGTCTCTCTCTGTATCTCTCAGGAATAAATAAATAAAATCTTAAAAAAAAACACAACAACACAACAACAACAACAAAACTTCCTCACAGTAAAGGAAACAATCAGCAAAACTAAAAGGCAACCTGTGAAATGAGAGATGATAGTTGCAAATGACATACATATCTGTTAAAGGGTTAGTATCCAAAAAATATAAAGAACCTATAAAGCTCAATACCCCCAACATGAATAATCTTTTTTTCACATAAAAACGTGATATTTTGCCATTTGCAATGACATGGATGGAGCTAGAGAGTACTATGCTAAGCAAAATAAGCCAAAGAAAGACATACTGCATGATTTCACTCATATGTGGAATTCAAGAAAGAAAACAAATGAGCAAAGGACAAAAAGGGAGAGGCAAACCAAGAAACACACTCAACTATAGAGAGCAAACTGTTGATTACCAGGGAGGAAGAAGGTGGGGGGGATGGGAGAGAGAGGAGATGGGGATTAAGGAGTACACTTGCTTGATGAGCACTGGGTGATGTATGGAAGTGTTGAATCACCATATTGTACACCTGAAACTAATATTACACTGTATATTAACTAACTGGAATTTAAATAAAAAGTAAAAAAAAAAAAAGAATAGGGCCACATCTTGAAATATTGAAAGGGGAAGAAAAAAACACATGCTTTTAGGTTTTTTTTGGGGGGGGTGGTTAAGTCACATTTTTACCCCATATATCTTTTAATTTGTAGTAAAATTTGGTTGTGTTTAAATTTACTGTATACCAGTGTTCACTTCAGCAGCACATACACTAAGTCTACTATATACTAAGTTATAGCAGACAAAGCAAGAGAAAGAGGCTTCCCCCCAGAAAAAGAGACATGAGCCCCAGTCACCCAGGGTCTGGAAAGATAACTTTCATTATTTTTTTTTACCTTTCAGTAGTGGTAGCAAAAGGTTAGCTCAAAATCAATAGAAACAGAGAACCCAAATGGGCTTTATTTTAATTTGCTTTTGTGTTTTTTTACAAATATTTTGAGCACATACTAAGTGCAAAGAAACTGTTTTTGGTTTGAGGTTAATTTTATTTTATCACACTTATAATTTCCTGTGTTTCTAATTTATGATTCAAATTTTATTTTGCCTCAGGCTAAAAGAACCACACACTATGTCCAGAAGCCAAAAGTTTCTCATCTGGCTTTCTGATACGTAAGAATTTTAGTTTTTTTTTTTTATATATATATGAGTTATTGTTTTACCTGTATCTATTAAGTACTATGTTTGTAATTTAGAGCAAGCTTCCTATATGTGATTTGTAACAAGGACATGTTGAGCACCTACTATGTTGGTAATTGTATATGAATCATTTAGAACTACTTTAATTACTAGTCACAAACCTAAAGAGGAATCTTGAGAGATAATCTCATCCAGCTTCAGGATAAAACTGAGTGCCCTCCTACCCAAAGGTAAATGATTGACTTAGGGTTATCTAGCTAGTTAATAGCTGAGGTGGTATATAAAACCATTCTCTTCTACCTATTTGCTGTTTTCGTGATGGAAAGAAGTGTGTATGGCATATAGTATAAGTAAAAGTGTGTATTGACTAGCAGCACATTTCTCTGAAAAATCTGCACCAAAAAAAAAAAAAATCTGCGCCAAGACTTAATAGCAGACAGGAAGCCCCACCTTTAGAATGGGCATCTACTTTAAAGAAAATACTTTAATTTGAGTTTAATTTTAGGTAAATACTACAATGTTACTGTGCTATATTTTGCTTTAAAATGGAACCCGGAATGCTTACATGACAGTCCTAATCACAACCTTTTAAGTTACTTAGCTCCTCTTTCAAAGAGTTGGAAAACTAGTTTTATCTTTTCTCTGTGCCACAGGGTTTATTCTTTTTTGTTTTATTCCTGATTTAATTTCTAGTTTCCAGGGATACTTTTTTTTGGTGTTACATGCATATGATTTTTAGTTTCTATTAATCATTTTAATAGACATAAACAGAATAGAAATGATATGTGTAACTTTCCAGTATAGTTCATTCCCATCGTGCTCAAATGATTTGTATTCTAAGAGTTCACTTTTAGGTCAATTATTTAGAACTTTAAAAAATGCAGTTTTCCTATTTATAGTGTAGTTAAAGGACATTAGGTTTCTAAGACAGCACATGAAAGACTAACCCATTAGGTAAATGAACTATGATATTATAGAACTTGACCCAAGTCCACTACCTTATTTTAACTTGGAAAGTTAGAGACAGGGTTCTCAGCAATCTCTCACTTGTTAGAGTGTCAACAGGGAAAGTGAGGAAGCCTCTTGTCCTCCATCAAGTGGCTTCAGTAAGAATGGGTCTCTTGAGGACCTCGTTACAGAAGGAATAGAAAAGAGGTGCTGGTCTTCCAGCAAGCAGCCAGCAGTGAAAGGAGAACCCAGCACTCAGAACATCAATGCATCCATAGCAGTCATTCCTTGAAGTCATTGTTTTATTGCTAAGGCATTAGGATTAAATTCAACTAGGAATAATAAACTCTAAATGGGCTAAATTAGGACTAAGGACTAATTTTAGTCCCTCGTTAGAGCCAAGAAGTATCTAAATTTATTCTTCTCTTTTTCTAGCTTACTAATGAGAAAAGCCTTGTTTGACCACCTCACTGCCAGAGGCATTCAGGTAAGTTTCTGGAATGATGCATTTTGGGAACAGTATAGCTCACCAGTTTAACACTAGTGTAAAGGGCAGGAACTTAATTTGGTCCCAGTTCTGATGCTGCTGCTTTACTGGTTCACAAATGAAGACATTAAGTTCTGCCTTACATTTAACAAGAAAGCATTGGCATTTTAGTAACTGGAGTCCACTTGTGTAGGTGAGAGTACCTAAAGCCAGAGGGTGGGACAGTGTATATTTAATGAATAAACTAAAATTTCTTTAAAGGGTTCAGTGATTTCTTAACATTACAGGTTTAAAAGGCTGTTTCTAGGTATGCTGAGATTGTAGTATATAAACGCTATTATAAAAATTATTTTCACCAGCCCCGGTGGCACAGCGGTTTAGCGCCACCTGCAGCCCAGGGTGTGATCCTGGAGACCCCGGATCAAGTCCCACGTCAGGCTCTCTGCATGGTGCCTGTTTCTCCCTCTGCCTGTGTCTCTGCCTCCCTCTCTCTCTCTCTGTGTGTCTCTATGAATAAATAAATAAAGTATTTAAAAAGATTATTTTCTATTTTAACATTTCTTCTTATACTTCTAATGCTTCTAATTTTCAGGTGTATATTTGGGTATTGAATGAAGAACAAGAATACAAACGAGCTTTTGATTTGGGAGCAACTGGGGTGATGACAGACTATCCAACAAAGCTTAAGGATTTTTTACATAATTTTTCAGCATAGAAAAGGAAATACTCAGAAGCACTCAAAGAAAACATGAAAAGACCTAAGGAAAAAAAAAACCCACAACAAGTTTGCCATCATTTTCCTAAGCCATTTCCAGAATGGTAAAGGTTTAATCATTTAAGTTTTTATTACCTCATTTTTAAGCTTGTCTGAGAATGTAGAGACTATATATTGTATATTTATTTTAAACAATATTGCATATTTTACATTTGTAAATAGTTTGTTTAGAAAGATAACTGGTTATGAGAAGTAGATTATTGATCAAGAGTTCTGTATATGATGCAGTATTCTAAGTAATTGTAAAATCAAAGACTCTTGGATAAATTTGACATTTGCCTTCACTAGAATAAGATCAACTAATTAGTAAAGCAAAATTGTTGAAGGCCACTACAGCTATTCTGAGTTGCCTTGTTATTTCAGTACATGTTAGTTTAAAAGGAAATGAAATAACAGTGAGAGGAGATCTTAGAAATCAGTGATATAGTTATCTGACAAGCTGTACCTTGTTAACAGAAGGGAAGACTCAAAAAAACTGAAACTTTATTACTTGATCAGAAATTAAAACTGTAGACATTTAGATTTCTTGGTTGCTGTTGTTAATGGGGACATTCTATTTGGAATCTTCTTCAGGTGTAACAGTGTTACCATGTCCTTTTTTTTTCATAAACATTAAAATTGGACTTATTAAATGCAAATTAAGACAAGATCCAAATAGTCATATATTTGTTTCCTCTAAAGACATGTAAATTTTCCACTTTTGGCAATGAATAACTGGGCCTATAACTAGATTTTAAATAACGTCTTGAATCCTAGTAATCATATGAAACTGACGAAAATACATATCATTGTTTCTTTTTTTTTTTCATATCATTGTTTCTAATACACTATAAACCGCCTGTTCCTGACCTGTAAGGATTAATTCTTCTGAATATTAAGTGGAAGCAGAATTGTTCAAAGCATCAGACATCACTTTCTCAGCTTTTCTGATGTGACTCCCTGTAAATCTGTTTCTAATCTTTTTCACTAATTTTCATTATCTCTTTGGGAAGTCAATCTACTCTGGAACAAGGCTCTCTTACCTAGATTACATCTCTCACTTGGAATTTGCCAGCTAGCAACTATGAAGGATGATCATACTCCCACCTGTCCCTTGATGACATAAATAACATTTGCTTTTTTGTTTCAATTGAAATAAAGTTTTACAAGAACAAAATAAGTGTTCTTCATTGCTTTTTTGCAATTGTAATTTCAGATATGCTTTATAGATTTTGGGGGGTGAAGAATTTAATGAGGTGATAAATTGATAACAGGAGTAAGCACACCTGAGATTTTTCTCTCGAGTAAGGAAAACAAAAAAATGTGGAAACACTCTTATGGTAACAGAAGTTGCTTCTTGGCATTTGAACAAATAACTTGGGCAGGTAACCCATTAAATCAAGTCATTTTTAATTTCACTTACTAAAATTTATTATACCGTTGCTATGGATTATTTTGATCACTGTGATATGACTCTTTTATTTTTTCTTTCTGACTTTTATTTTGTTATTATTCAGAGCAGCTCATATTACAGGGTCAGCATATTTTTTCTGTCAGCCAGTAGAAGATAAAGTGACCAATATGGTAAAGATGTTTAGAAAGTCATGTTTTAAAAGTTTGCTAATTTTGGGGTGCCTAGCTGGCTTACTTGGAAAAGCATAGAATTCCTGATGTCAGGGTCATTAATTTGAGCCCCATGCTGGGAATAGTTTACTTAAAAAAAAAAAAAAGATTTGTCAACTTTATATAGTCAAAGTAACTTTAATTCACTTAATATAAATATATAGTATTTTCAATAGGAGAGTTGATATTCATGATCAGATAACATCTCAATACTGGTTTTCTGATTGGAGCATCACATTTTTTCTATTTATTTAAAGTAATCTCTATGCCCAATGTGGGGCTCCAACTCCAAGATGCCAAGATCAAGAGTCACATACTCTACCAAGTCAGCCAGGTGCCGCCAGAACATCATTTTTTTTTTAAGATTTTATTTATGAAAGAAAGAGTGTGCACGTGCACACAGGAGCGGGACAGGGCAGAGCAGGAGGGAGAAGCTGACTCCCTGCTGAGCAGGGAGCCCAATGTGGGACTTAATCCCAGGACCCTGGGATCATGACCTGGGACAAAGGCAGATGTTTAACTGACTGAGCCATCCAGGCACCCCTGGAGCATCACATTTAAAAGAGCTTAAATACTTTTTCATTTTGAGATAGGTATTGCTAGGCATAGTGAACAGCATGGTGGGAAAGGTAGAGAAGTGGTCACAAGATGTGATTAGACCCTTCTACTGGGTGAGGCTGGTGCTAAATGAGACAGGCCCAGCTATAGGTCTAATCCAGCATGCCAATAGTGGCCCAAGTGTATGGCAATAGGCAACAGTTGCCAGGCATTTTAGTAAGCAATTGGTATGAGGGAGGTTTTTTTTTTTTTATTATTATTATTCGTGAGACACAGAGAGGAGCAGAGACACAGGCAGAGAGAGAAGCAGACTCCTCATGGGGAACCTGATGTGGGATGTGGGACTCAATCCCAGGACTCCAGGATCATGCCCTGGGCCGAAGCAGGCACTCAACCGTAGGGCCACCCAGGCATTCCTGAAGGAGTTTTAATATTGAAAGGGAAGTGAGAGCTTCCCTGTTGGACTAAAGTCCTGGACATGTAATAGAACTGAAGAGCGGAGTGATAACACTGGACTAATTAATTATAGGAGTAAGTTGGCACTGAGTTTCAGAACTATTAACCCTCTCATTTCTGGCCAGAACTGGTTCTAGAAATGGAAGTGGGGTCCTGACAACAGGTGAGCATCTAGAAGCCACAGCTGTAAGGAAAGAATGGCTACAATGGGTTGGGGGGAAACATAAAACTTAAGTTGTGGTAGGTTGTAGTATGGGAAACCATTAACATAGAATGATTCATAACAAATGATTCTGCTTAGAGTTGTGCTAAAAAAGTGCATTTAAAAAATATATAGTGAATTTGCTATAGATAAAAGTTCCAATTGAGGGCACCTGGGTGGCTTACTCAGTTAAAGCATCTGCCCTTGGCTCAGGTCATGATCCCAGGGTCCTGGGATTGAGCCCCATATCAGGCTCCCTGCTTGGCAGGAAGCCTGCTTTTTCCTCTCCTCCACCCCTCCCTGCTCCTGCTCTCTCTCTCTCAAACAAAACAAAACCTTAAAAAAAATTCCAACTGAAGGAAAGTCATAAATGCCAAGTTGAAGAGTTTGTTCTGAATAGAAAGTCATCTCTTTTAAGTAGGTGGCTAAACTCAAGACTTTAAAAACAAGAACTGAAACTGCTAGGCAGTAATATGACATAATCACTTCGGTACCAAAAGGAAAATGTAATTAGCCGTCACACCAAGCACCAAAACAAGATCAGAATCAAAGCAGTCAGATCCAGGAATCAAAGAGATCAGAATGCTGAAAGCATATCGAGATAACTTCTAAAGCCACTTTGTGATGTCTAGCTTTTCTGACTCTTAGCAGACACACTGGAAGTTGGAACATCCTATAATATGAAGGAAAGACACAAGCCTAGGCCAGAGAACAGTCCATAAATCAGGTCAAGAGGCTAACCAGATCCAGTTGCTGTTAGATTGTCCCAAAATGAATTTGGCAATAGGCTACAGAATGGGAGACTTGCAGCAATCCAGGCCTGAGGTAATAGGGATTCAAATGAAGGAAGTGGCAATGAAAGTAGGCAAACAATGAATCTCTGCTTCTCTGAAAGGTGGAATTAGTAAGAGCCAGCGACTAGAGCTTAAAAGGAGAAGGGAAAGTCAGCACTCATCTCAAAGCTGCAAGAAATGGGGAACTTGAAGAGGGGAAACCAGTTTGGTGATAAAAATGATGACTGTGTTGTGCTCTTTAAAATGACAGAAGATTTGAAATAACAGACATTTGAGTGGCTGTGCTTTAAGTATGTTACTAGCCCTTGGAGGAAAGGATAGTTGGAGAAATAGATTTAGGAGTTTTGTATGCTTAATAGGTATGATTTTGCAAAGCTAGTACTTTAGAGGCGGTGTTAGTTCCTTCTCAGTATTCTACTTGCAATTTGAATAGGTTGCTCTGCCACCAAGTGCCTATGAGTAGCCATACATTGGTCTTGCTTGTCCAGTAGTTTTAAAAAATTTAGATTTTATTATAAGATAACAGGATGGGGCCTGGACAGCTTCCGCTGGGTGAATGGGGATGATTATGCTAAGAGGACGCTGAGCAGGTATAGCTTTGTGTTACCCATTCCCAATTTGACCAGAACTGCTTTACTTTTTTGTTTCACATGGGAATTCCACATAAGATTTGATTTAAAATAGGAGTTTTCTGCGAAAACAAAATTGGCCTTTATAATCTTTGATCTAAGATCTTTTTCCCTTTGAGGCTTGAGTAGAACCTCTTTCCTTCTTCCCTCCCTCCCTTACTTCCTAAATCACTCTAAGCCTTTTTCATTAAAATATATATATATATTATATTTATTTGAGGGTCACCTGGTTGGCTCAGCAGTTGAGCAGATGTCTGCCTTGGGCTCAGGGTGTGATTCCGGGTCCAAGGATTGAGTCCCACATCAGGCTCCCTGTGAGGAACCTGCTTCTCCCTCTGCCTATATCTCTGCCTCTCTTTCTCTGTCTCTCATGAATAAGTAAATTTTTAAAAACTCTTTTTTAAAAAAGGATTTTAGGGCAGCCCGGGTGGCTCAGCGGTTTAGCGCCGCCTTCAGCCCAGGGCGTGATCCTGGAGACCCGGGGTCGAGTCCCACGTCAGGCTCCCTGCATGGAGCCTGCTTCTCCCTCTGCCTGTGTCTCTGCCTCTCTCTCTCTCTCTCTCTCATGAATAAATAAATAAAATCTCAAAAAAAAAAAGATTTTATTTGAGAAAGAGAGAATATGTGTAAGGACAGGGTGGGGGGGCAGGGGAAGCAGGGCAGAGGGAGAGAATCTTCAAGCAGGCTCCACACTAAGCCGAAATCTGTTTGTTTGTTTGTTTGTTTTTTGTTTGTTTGTTTGTTTTTAAGATTTTATTTATTAGAATGTGAATGTGGGCACAGGAGCAAGGGGTTAGGGGTGAAGGTGGGAGGGGAAGGGCAGAGGGAAAGGGAGAAGCAGACTCCCCACTGAGCAGGGAGCCCTACTTGGGGCTCAATTTCAGGACCTGAGATCATGACCTGAGCCTAAGGCAGACGCTTAATGGACTGAGCCACCCAGGTGCTGCAATGGTCCTTCTTCCTGGTCAAAAACTTCTCAAGGAAAATCAATGGGTGGGGGAGAAGCACAGGGCATGAACAGGTAACCCACAAATGTAAACAGTCAACAAACAAAAAATGTCTAACCTCCCTAGTCGTCAAGAACTATCGATTAAAACAACATTGAGTGAAATACCAATTCCCAAATCTTAGATGGGCAAGAGTGAAAGGCATGGAGAAACAGGCACTCATGAGTTGTTGGTGGGAATATAAATTGACAGAACACTTTGATTGACTTGACACTATCCTTAAATACATCCTTTCATTCAGAAATTCCAGTGCTAGGAATAACATCCTAAGAAAATAATAGGATAGGGATGCCTGGGTGGCTCAGTGGTGAAGCACTTGCCTTTGGCCCAGGGCGTGATCCTGGAGTCCCAGGATTGAGTCCCTAATTGGGCTTCCTGCGTGGAGCCTGCTTCTCACTCTGCCTGGGTCTCTGCCTCTCTCTCTGTGTCTCTCATGAATAAATAAATAAAATATTTTTAAAAAGAAAATAATAAGAAATGCTCCAACGGTAACTATGCAGAGTAAAAAACTGGAAACAATCTAAATATGCAACATTAAGGAACTAGTTAAATTATAGATGCATACAATGATCTCATATTAATTTCATTACAGTAATATGAGATATTAATAAAAGATATTAAGTGAAAAGACTAAGTCATAAAGCTATATACTGTGTGAACAAAAATATATACATTCATTTTAAAACAAATGATATCAAGGTTTCAGTTGTGGTTTTTATGATGATGGTATTATGAGTGACTTATTTTTACTTGTCTACAATGAATAGACATCAATTTTAATTAATCAAAATTAATGAAAAATCACTTAAATAAACACCTGGGGACACCTGGGTGGCTCAATGGTTGGGTGTCTGCCTTCAGCCAGGGTGTGATCTCAGGATCCAGTGTCGTGTCCCACATC